CCCTCCACCCCCCCGCCCAAATAAATAATCCGGATCCGCACCCTCCACCCAGCTCTGGAACCGCTTGAGGCCCAGCGGCATGAGCGGGGAGCAGCCGAAACGTACCGGAGGGCCCGAGGTTAAAAATGCAAAATATCCGGCGCTGCCGAAGGCAGGTCCCCCCCGGCCCCGGCCCCGCCGCCGCCCGGCCGGGGGCAGCGGTAACAGGCACCATTACGGAACCATCATCATCATCATCATTCACTCCGTCCTTTTCTCACCTCAGGAGTCTGAGCCCATTCACCAAAGTCCTTCCTCGTCCAGGAGCTCAAATATTTTCTTTTTTTTTTTTTTCCTCCCCCCCCCCCCCCCCACAATAAATGGAATGGGATTAGGGGAAGCAGACATAGCTGCATGAAGTGGCTGCCTTTTCGAAAGCACATTTAATCTTTCCTGGCTCCCCTAGGCTTCGATGAATTAGAAGGGAAAGGAGAGGAGAGGGGGAAAGAAAAAATCCAGGCAAGGGAGGCTGTTGAGGGACAGCAAGCATCAGGCTCAAATCAACGACCAGATGAAAATGTACTAGACCACACTGCCCCCTCTCTTCCTCTCGCTCTGTCTCCTTCTCTCTCACACACTCTCACTCCTGGAAAGCTTCAGTGTCTGGTTACAGACTCTTTTGGATCCTTCCCCCCGCTCCCCACCCTCGCCCTTTGCCAACTATCCTAGAGATTCCTTGCATGCCTACTTAAATCTTTAACAGAATAAGGACCCGGCTCCCCCCGCCGCCAGCCCCGCACACACTCACACACTCACACACACACACACACCACTGCCGGTCACCCTTCCCAATAATCTCTTAAGCCGCCGGGAGAAACCCGCGGCGCATCCCCGCCGCATCCCGGCCCCGCCGCATCCCCGCCGGGCACCGCCCCGGGACCGCTCCCGCTCCCCTCCGCCTTCCCAGGGGCTGCAGGGGAAGCAAAGGGGAAGCCGAGGGGCTGCAGCCCTTCGCCCCGCATCCCCGCCGGAGCCGGCGGTGGATTTTAAAACAATAAAATCCAGCGCTGGCCCCGGCGGGTGCCCCCCGCTCCCCCCCGCCGCAGCCGCCCGTGGAAATCGCACGCCCCACGTCTGCAGTGAGGCAGGCAGACTGCCTGGCTCATGCCCGTGATGACTTTAGAGCTGACAACCTCCTCTCCTCGACCCCCCCCTTCCCCTCCACACCCACCCCTGCGCTCAATGGCAGCGCTGCTGCCTCTCGCACCAGACTATATTTGCAATATGTGCTAATTTACCAGCTATATGCCCTTGGATTTTAAAATGAACTCATCAGTCAATGTTTCTAGTAGCGATGCTCCCTCTCTCTGCCTCACACACACCCTCCACTGCAGACATGTTACTCATTCCGCAAGCATTTCCTCCCCGAATGTCCGTCAGACGCATATACACTTCATTGATCAAACCAAATCCCCTGATAACAATAAATAATAATACAGACAGTTAACATCAGCGGGGAGCGGGGCGGGGGGGCGCGGGGGGAGAGACAAAGATGACGACTAAATCTGCATTGTGCTTTAGGAGGCTGAGCCCTGCCTTTCCCAGAGATGCTCCGCACAATGCGGGGCGCAGGTAGCCCCAAAACCCAGCTCCGGGGCCTCCCCCAGCCCCCCCGTTTGCCCAGACGCTGGGCATGGTGATGTCTGATACCCGAACCCACACGGGCTTCAAAAGGTGCTTGCAGGAACAGAAGGTTCTGGCTGCGGAGGGGAGGCAGCACCTCCCGCAAAATACAGCAATAAACGCAGGCAGCTTCTTTGTTACGCTGAGCACCGCACAGACGCTCAGGAATTAAAGGTATCGGGGCACCCAAAGGCACAAGGATTGCCAGGAACACCTTCCAGCTCCCCCTGAAATCCTTTTTCTTTGTACAGAAGGCAGGGAGCACCTCTGCAAGAAGCCAGGCTGTTGAACATCCCTCTGTGCCGGCTATTTCAAGGGTTTTAGGGCTGCCCTGGCTTCATTTCCCAGTTTTCTGGGGCTGAAACAGGGGAGGCAGGAGATTGGGATTGCCCCTTGGGATTTTGGCTGGTTAGACAGCTTGTGTGGGTCTGGCAGAGAGAAAGTGGCTGCAGTGTGAGCGTTCGGGAAGTTGGGGAGGGTGGGGCTATCTAGAAATCTTTGACTCACTGGGGTAACTCCCTGAGCACAGGAATCAAATTATTGCTCCAAGCAAACTGCATTTTATGAGCAGCAGCCTCAGAATGAAATTCTGCATGCACACAGAGCTGGGGACAGCTAAAATAAAGGCACGGAAATAAATGTGCAGCCCGTAATTAAATTATTGGGTGCAATGCAGAAGTCTCTGGGTGATGGAAGAGGTGGGATTATGCAGCAAAGTCAGTTTGGGAATCCACAGATACAAATTTTCTTATTTATACTGGCATAATCCTGACTGGCATCAACCTAGATAGGGCAAGAATCAAACCTGTTTGCTGAAGGATCTGATTTTGGGAGAAGTAGTCTGGATTAGTGACTGTATCTGCCAACCACGCTTTCACTCCCTTCAGAGTCCCTCACCACCACTGCAAGATTTTGCCACCACACGGAACATTTCACATCCATTGTCTCCTTATCCTCCTTCCCAATAAAAAATATTTGATTTTTTTTCCCAAAGTTTTGTAGCAAACACATAATTTCTTTATACACTTTAGCCAAGCCTTCGGAGGATACTTATTTCAAGCAGTTAACACCTGACCCCAATTTTTGTGGGTAATTAGTGAGCTAGATAACCACACAAAGTGGGTAATTATTTAGTACCCAAGGGTACTGTACAAGAGGGTAGAGGCTGGCGGTGTTAACAAAAGCACATCCCTAATTATTGTATCCATCCTGATGTTTTAAGAATTGTTACTTCCACCTAATGATCCATGATAAATCAGTAAACTCTTCTGCCTGCCTTAGACGGGATAACCAAGGGCAGGAAGGGAGGGAAAACCAATGCAAGGCACAACTTCAATCTGTGCGAGCTCCAAAAAAATGAGATGAATCCCCTTGGAAAAGGCAGCGAGACTGGAAGTGCCACCTCTGGGACACCTGATAACCACCCCTGAAAGCCACCAGGTTGGTTGGGAAGGCTGGAAAAGCCATGTGGGAGGTTTGTAGGGAGGCCTCAGGTCGGCTTAGGGAATGTGGCTGTGCTGATGGATCCTTGAGTGCCATCCATGTTGCTCCAACCAAGCTCAGCCTGGCTCCTGGAAAATCACTTTAAAGCTGTGCAAATGGGGTGTTCTGTGTTTGGGGAGGGTCAGAAATGCCAGGGGGTTGCACTAGGTGGGGAAAAAAATATCACTTTTGATGGATTTCAATTATCCATCACCGCCAGGATTTATGTTGCGTTTCTCCCGCGGAAAATGGTGCATCCTCGTCAGGATTGTCCTCAAATATGAGAAGGGAGAAACAGGATATTGAATATTGAAATATTTGAGATATTGAAATATTTCAATAGAAACTAAATAGGATTCAGCAGTTAAACCCATACAAATATCCCCAAGGCAGGTGTCAGAGGAGGGTGACAGGAAAAGGAGCCAGAAACTAAAACACAACAAGTTCCACCTCAGCCTGAGGAAGAACTTCCTTCCCATGGAGGGGGCAGAGCCCTGAGCAGCCCAGGGAGGTTTTGGCTCTCCCTGCTGGAGCCACCCCAGCCCCACCTGGATGTGTCCCCTGTCCCTGCTCCGGGTGACCCTGCCGGGCCAGGGGGGTTGGGCTGGGACCCTCCAGAATTCCCTTCCCGCCCCAAATCCCCCGGGACTCTGTGAGGAAAAAAAATAAATTGGTTTTAATCAGCAGGTGATAAAGAAGTGTTTGCTGGGAACAGATCCACGGCCTGGAACACAGAGCCCCCATCCCCTGACCACTGTCTGAGCACTTCACACTCACTTAAGGACATCCTCAACCAGGACATTAAGCTCAGAGGAAAAGCACTTTCCTCTTTTAATTGCTTTTATGAATCACCACCGACATCCAGACACTTCATTTACTGGAGTCCAGCAACCCTGTTTTGCAAACACTGAAATTTCAAAATGTTAAAGGCCTCTGGGCTGGCAAAAATAATAAAACAAACAAAAAAAATTAAAAAATAGAGGTGTCATTCTGTTTGGTTTGATCCCAGCTTTGCATTTAACTCAACCTGCTGCTCTGGGCCAGGCACTACACAAAAAACCCCACAACTGGCAGCATCACCTGGCCCTGTGACCACCAGGAATTCAGAATTTAAGCAGAGAAAGTTTGAGGGGTTTCCACAACTTCTCGTATTTCTCTATTGTTCTGTGGTTTGTTTGGTTTGGGGTTTTTTTTTCTGGAGTGAAATAACCACAACAGAAAGAGGCCTGAAAATTGTTCTCATATTTAAAAAGGGGCCAAGTCTCTGCAGTCCATTTGTAAATAAATATAAATAAAATTGGTATCCCCTCCACTAATCCTCTCAGGGACAGGGCTTGCAGGAAATTCTTGCAGAAATGGAGCAAAAGAAAGTTTGCAGAGAGAAGCTGGAAAACAGAAAGGAAGAATGAATTTAATCATGGAGACAGGATCAAAGGAAGGAGAGACCTTGGTAGGTGCTGTTGTAGCAGAAAGTAGAGTAAATACAAACTATTACAATTTTTCTCCTCAGATCAATTGGAATTAGCAATTCAAAGGGGAAAACACACAGGAGAAGGGATGTTCAGCCAGGGAGGAAGCTTTAGGGACTTCAGCATTAAATATAAAACCTTGAGGGCTTTTTGAGAGCAGTCAATAACTTCACTCCGGGCAAACTGGACAGAGATCATTTAGGAAATATCTTTAAAATAATGCTTACAGCTCAGCTGTAAGGACAGCATACTTGAGAATGGCTTCCAAATTAATTAAACATCTTCAGGGGAGTAAAAAACATTCAGTAACAGAAATTAAGAATTCAAATGATGGGAGGAAAGGTAAAATTCAGAGTGGAAAGCAAAACTGGGTGAAGTTGCCATGATTTGGATATTTCCAGAGTGGTGACCTTGCCAATCAAAAGCTTCTAATTTGAGCCTCACTCTTTTGCAGGCCAATTCCACACCAAATCACCGACACAATCAATATTCTGTAAAAACACAGAACCATCAGGACAACACTTACCACATCCCTGGCGGGCTGTGAGTCCCTGGGAGAAGCTGCAGTGTCCACATGGCTTTTGTCACCCTCATCTGATGCCCTGGTGTTCAACAGAGAGGACAGAGCATGGTTCAGAATCACCCAGTCCCATTTCACCACCTCCAAATCCTTTTCACCCAGCACCTTTCCCCTCCAAACAAACAGATTTTGCCTCCCCCAACATTAAAAAGTGGTGGTTGGATTTTCCCCCCATCCCCCAGTTCTGCCAACAGCTTCTCCTTGAGCCCCAACTCCACCCATCCCTGGAAAATGGGGAAAAATTGAAATAATAAAGGTGAGAAAGCCAGGAAATGATTGGATCTTAAGGTGGTGAAGCAAGGGGAAAGGAAAATGAGGCAGTGGGAAAGGCCCTGGCACTCTGCACTGACTGAAACCCAGGATTAGGGATAAGGGAAGAATTCAACAAAAGGTCAGCCAATGTCACAGAGGGATTTGGAGAGAAAGGCTACAAAGACTGATTCATCCAGAATCAGAGAAGTGGCAACACCTCACCTAGAATTTCTGTTTTGTCTGTCCTGACCCTAAGTTCTCCTAAAACCAAACGGATTTAACCAAACTGAAACTCAAGGTGAAACCCAAAGTTACGCGGATGAAGCCACACAAAGAATTTGTTACATCACTCTGGTGTGATTTGCCAATTCCATCTCACACAAAGCACCCAAACCCCTCAGATTTCACGTGGGTTCAGGGCCACAAAACGTTTAAGACTCAATTAATTCAGAATACAAAAAAGCTTCAAGAAGCTCACTCTTATTTCAGGTAAATCTAACCTGAAATAAATTTGGCATGTAATTTCTTAAGATTTGAAGTTTTACCCTGAAATCTGGCAAATTTTGAAATACATCAGTTACTAAGAGATGGAGCTGTAGATGTTACCCTATAAGGCTGCCACAAAAGAATGTCTGGTCAACATTTAATGCTTTTTTAAACTTTAATTCAAATTCCAACAGAATCATTGCATGAAAAGGTGGAGTCCCTAAATCAAATCTTTCTTTTTTTTCTGAAAAAGCCAGTAAAAATAATACCTGTTGAGGCTGTTCAATTGGAGCTTAAACTGTTGAACCTAAATTCAACTTGCAAAAAGTTTAGGGACAATTTAGGAATCTGAGCTGGCAAGAAAAGTGGAAAAAATTAAATTAACGATCCCTGAGACTGAGAGAAGAGCTAGAATGAATTGTATTTCAGTAGGAAAGGACTGCTTGGGGTCACTGTGGAAAATAAAGATTCTAATTCCCAGACTGGAGGGCTGCAGTCCACAGATCCATCCCCATCTCCTCTGGAAATTCACTATTTTCAATCCTTGATAACGTAACTACGGCACCTAAGAAAGGAGCTGGGAGCCTTTATTTATTAAAGCTGGGAGCTTTAATTAATGTCTGGGAAGAGATCACAGGCACCTGAGGAACCTCAAAGGGCCAAAATTCTTCAACATCCCCCAGACCTCCAGCCAGACTCCTCACCCTCCTCACCAGCACTGCCTTCTTTATAAACAGAAGGTGGAATTACCTCAAAGATAAAACAAAGACATCTTCCCCAGGTTTTCTATTATTACACCTGACACAACTTGAAGAAGGAAAAAAACCAAAAAACCAAAACATAGTTCTCAAAAGGAAAAAACCCACGTTCCAGCCACTGCTTAAGAATGAAACCCAAAGGCAGGACACCAAAATATTTTCTCCAGCTGGCGGTGGGTGCAAGGCACCACTCTCTGCACAGGGACAAGCAGGAGCTGGCACAGAGGAATCCCAAACCAGCAGGGAGGATTCCCAGCCTGTGGCTCCCCATGCTCAGTGACACCCTGAGGGTCTCCATCCCTTCCCCTTTCCTGCCTGCTTTATCCACCCAGGCTGCAAACTCCTGGGGAAAGGGATCTCTCCTCACAGGGGAGGCTCTGGGATGCTGAGGTATTTCAGTGCTGCCATCAAAGAAATCAAACTCTGGGCTCTCCAGGCAGGGAACAGGTTTTCCTTGAGCTCCAACTCCACCCCTCCCTGGATAACAGGGAAAAATTGAAATCATGAAGGTGAATAAGCCATAAAATGATTGGATTTTAAGGTGGGAAAGCAAGGGGAAAGGAAAATGGTCTCTGGACACAGAGAGCTTCATACCCAGCTCGTGCCCAGCCACTGCACTGGTGCTGGGAGCGGATTAAAAACCAGGGAGCCACGTCTGGAGAGGGATGTGACAGACAGAATGAGTGTCAGGGCTTCCTGTGGGCCCAGCAGACACTGCTCAGTGTCTGCGTGCCAGAAATAGCAGCGGGAGGCAGGCGCAGCTCCCGGTGCCCCCCTGCACTTCTGCATGGCTTCACTGCAGGCTCTGCTCCACCCTGCACTCACAGCTCCTCCTGGCCATAATGCAAAGAGACAGCCTAACACTTCCAGGAGATGCGACGTGAAGAAAACAGGCAGAAAAATCTGAATTTCGGCTTATTTACTAGGATAATAAATGACATTGCTTGGGATTTTTAATGTGTTGTAACAACGTTCTCGAGTCGATTGCACAAAAATAGTTTTGGATGATGAATCTTTTCAGTGTAAAGGTGAAAAAGGTGTCAGCACAGAGGCAGCCCATCAGAAACGTTTCTTCCCAGCGTGATCCTCGCAATTCCAACATGAGTGTCTCTGAACAGCTCATTCAGGATCAGTTCCTCTGCCTTACAGCTCCCTTAGGAGGAACAAGGACCTCTATTTTACAGGCAGGGAGCAGAACCAAAGAAAAATAAGTGACTCATCCCAGACCCCACAGGGAGTCCACAGCAGAACTTCTGGGTCTGCACCAAGGGCTTGATAAAGAAAAATAAATGGTTTCACTCTAAAGGTAGAGGCTGTGCAGCCTTTGCCCATCAATAATGAAACAAAACAAGCCCCCCGAGCTGCACACGGACAAGGGACAGGATTAAAATGACAACCTTCATTCACCTGGTGTCTCCAGGAAATCCAAACTCGTGTTTCGCACAGGAAACAGCAATTTCCAGAGAAATCCCTCCCACAGGAAACACCAATTCCCAGACAAACCCCTTCCAAAGCCACCTTCACCTGGGATATTTCAGGAACAACCCCTCACTGTCACTGTCTGACCCCCTTGGGTGGTCCCTGCTCCTCGCTGGAGCTCCACGTGGAGCCAAGTGCAGCAGCAGCTCCCAAGGGATTATTTGATCACCTTCCTGCTTAATTGCCAATTTTAATTACTCGCATGGCAACAACAAAAAGTCAATCTGGCAACGGAAATCCATTCTTTGAACAACTTCTGCCTCTCCCCTCAGACACAAACTATTGCTCTAGAAGCCATTCCTGATTAATAAGGGGCCCTCGTGGGAAAGCCAGTGGATTTCATTTCCTTCAGCTGACAGCCCCAAGTCCCCAAAAAGCAAGGGCAAAAGAACCTTTATTTTATCGTGGCAAGATGACACTGTTTTTCCCCTTGCCATTTTCCTTCAGGAAGATGTATCAGCACGACATTTGCTCCTCCATGTGGTGGGATTTCTTAAATAAAAAACGTATGTTCTATACGTCTGAGCTTGGAAGCAGAGCTGCATTAGCCTGTTAACCATCCATGTTTGCTTCAGACTTGGCCAGCCACCTAGAAAACCTGCCAAGACCTCTCTGGCAGCATTCTCCTCACAGTTCCAGGAAAACATGGAATATTCAAAGAATTTCAGGGGCCTCCCGGCTTCGTGTGTCACCACTCTCCTTGCCCACTTAGAGCTAAATCACAGGCAAATTGCTCTAATGCCCTATTAAAGATTTAAAAATGGTCTTCTCCAGAGGAGGGTATCTGAGGACAAATCTCTGCTAATATATAATGCAAAAGCCCTGCTCAGATGTGATGCAATGTGGCAGGAGGCAGGGAGGGAGCTGCTTTACAGCCCTGCAGCTTCCCAGGGGAGTTCTGTCCTGTTTGGGGCCTTTAAAGCTCCCTCAGCTACCCCGGCAGAGCAGGGAGTGCTTTTGTGCTTGCTGTTCTTCCAGAAATGGCTGCAATCTGACACAGGGCAGGCTTAGATGGGATATTGGGAATAAATTCTTCCCTGTGAGGGTGGGGAGGCCCTGGAATGGATTTCCCAGAGAAGCTGTGGCTGTCCCTGGATGCCTGGGAGTGCCCAAGGCCAGGCTGGAGCATCCTGGGATGGTGGAAGGTGTCCCTGCCATGGCAGGGCTGGAATTAAATGGTTTTTAAGGCCCCTTCCAACCCAAACCATTCTGGGATTCTGAACCCATTGAGATTTCAGGGTAAGAAGGAACCAAAAACTGAATTTCCAGCAGAGCTCGTCACTCCTGGGGCTGAAGGCAATGCTGTTGAAGAGCTGAGCTAGGGACAGGGACAGGGAGGTGACCAGATGACATCGAGTCCATACCCAAAATTCAGAGCAGAATCCATGGGAATGGCACCTGGAGACATTTCCTGTGCAATTGAAACCAGGAACCAGCTCCTTTTAAAGGGGAAAATCCTGAGTGAGCAAAGTCACTCCTAACCAAGAGCAAACACCGGCCCAGAGAAAAAGGCTTTAAATAATTTGGAGAGGTTTTTATTCTTACAGAGAATAAAACCTCCCTGTGTTTTCAGATGTCAAGCAGACTTTTCTTGATTCCCAGCACTAATTTATGGATTAAACATTTAACCCTTGACTTGAGTGTGGATGGACAGTTCCCTGCTGCTGAGAGCTAAGCAATAATAAAAATTAATATAATATTACAAATACTTTGTTTATAATATTATACATTATAAACTCTATTTTCTTGTCTTATAAATTCAGTGTGTTATATATTAATAAAACAAAAATAAATATTATATTTCTGAGCAGTGACTTCTATCCTAAGACCTCCAACCAGCCCTGGTTCAGCAGCCTCACTACACCTCTACCGTGGAATGCCCTGGACACTGATTGTGTTTTTTCCATGAACACCTCCCCTGGTTAACTCCTCATTCAACAATTATTCTCACATGCAAATGAAGGCAAGCACGTGACTGAACTATCTCAGGGCTCTCAGAAAATCAGTTCCTTTCCCACCTCAGAAGGGAAGGGCACTCTCTAAAATC